AAAAGAAATGAGAAAGAAGATAATGAAAATCAGGTAATGTGAAGTTTTTTACATTGGAATATTTCTAGGATTAAAGGATTTTCTTCTTTGCTGACCAGTTCTGCTTGCAATTTCAGTTGTGTGGTGACATTGTTTTTATGTATACAATTGTATATTGTGTAAGTAGTGGCATGTGATGAGTGTAACACAGATTTTGTTATGGCCAAACATTTCACTGGAACTTGGCCAGGCTAAAGAATGTTGCTCATTATAAGAGAGACTTCATTAAAAAAGGGGCTTATTACATGTATGTGAGAGTTCCTCTTTAAAGAGTATATTTTCATCTTAGGAACTTAAGAAAAAAGAATTTGATAGACGTGATTTAGGACAAGAACTCAGTAAAGCCAAGCGTGATCGTGAAGAGAGGCAGGCACATGATATTGTTAATCAGATCAAGGAAAACAGAGCCAAGGAACGAGCCCACAGAGAAGCCATTCGGCCACAGATTGCAAGGGACAGAGCTGAGCGAGAGGCCAGGAGGCAAAACGAGATGCAAGAGAGGCAGTGTGCTCAGGCTGCGGCAGCAGCACCTTTAGGTGCCATGATGGGAAGCCATGAACAGCAGGGTAGAAGTGATTGGTATGTATAACATATTTGTAGATTGTGCTTCTGGATCAACCACAGGATTTTCTAATAGGCAAAAAGAGTATGAAGAAAAATCTACCACTCCTGAGTTTAAGGGGACAGTGTTTTTTAATACCTATGTCTGGGAGCTTGCTATAAAGTTTTTAGTAATAAAAACAAACAACAACAAAAAAATGCCAAAAGTGGTGAAATCATCAGCCAAAAATAATAATATTAAATGACAATAAGACACTTATAAAGTGCTGTTTCCCCATAGTTCTACAGCGCTGAACAGATATAAATATCTGCTAAAAGTTAACTAAGCTTACTAAAATTATCTAAAATTGACTAAATTAAAAAAAAGTAAAACCATAATGAAATAATAAAAAATCAGCATCTGTAGTAAGCACTCAAGAAAAGATGCTTTTTGAGTCTACGTTTAAAAGTGTCAAGTGTTTTGAGTCTACTTTTAAAAAGACAATTATACGGTAAATGCCACAAGATTCAGAATTTCAGCAGAATTGCATTTTTGATTTCTTGAGAGGCTACACAGGTCACCAAATCAAATTTGATGATTTGCAATCTACATGTACTTCGATGCTTAAAATCTTACACTTTTTCATGCACCGGTACTTGTTTTATTTTGTTCTCACTGAAAATAGTGCATTCTGATTGCTTTCATTAGACTGTTTTCAATATATTAAAATTCAGCTTGCCAGTGAGGCCTAGAAGACACAAACAAAGGAAACTGAATGACATGTTTATTCATTTCTTTTGTTTGCGTCCTCTAGGCCTCACTATCAAGCTTATTTTTAATATCTCGAAAGTGACCTATTAACAACATCAAGTTGTCATGGTCAAGTTTAAGGAAGCAAAGATTTGAGATTGTGCTTTTTATAACTAATTATCTTTAACACAAGTATTGGTATTTGTCAATAATTATAATTATTATAATCACCATGGTAATATCATGGGTGACAAATTACTTCGTAATTTTGGCACAAAACTTCAGCGTTAATTTGTGATTTCACATGTAATATTACAAAAGTGCCATGGCAACATTTGGCACAAAATTTTGCAATACAATAAACAAGTCAAAAACCCTCAACTGTAAGAGTAATTATTTTTCACCTATGATTTTAAAAGGTAAACAAATGGTATACTGTCTTGTGACAAAACATGGGTGAAATTATTTCCTAATTTCACTTGTTGCCATTTTGATTCCCCACACAAATTAATTAGAAAAGCAAACTTTCGATAATCAGCCAGGACACTGCCCCTTTTAGTCAAAATGACACAGTGATCTAAAAAGAACATGTATGTATCTTTTACTCTGTTCCAGCACCCCTGCACGCCTCCAGTTTCATCTTCCAGATGGTAGTTCTGTAATAAACACATTTCCAGCAGATTCATCATTGGAGACCATCAGGCAGTATATCATCACAGTAAGCTCTCTTCAAACAACCACAAAGCTAAATACATGTATGCTATTTTTGTCTTTAAGTGTTGTATCAGAATTCTCCATACCTGCTCCATACTGCCTTCAGTACATTTCATGTGGTTGGCTTATATGTACATGTAAAGAGAATTTTCTTTTCAGTCAGCCATTTTCCAATGTGTTGAGGTTCCTCTTAATATAATGACTTAGCTGCCCTTTATAGGTTTGTTTATATGTAATCAGGTACAGAAAAACAAGTCCTCTTTCATTTTTATCACCATTCAGAACTTTCTGTTTTGCTTAACCTGAGACATCTTTTGTTCCCCACAATTTGAGAGCGGACATTTTACAGTAGTCACCCATGAGCAAGTTTGATTTTTAGGAAGATAACCATCTAGAAGATGACTATCCAAGAGAATGTCTACATTGGATTATTTCATGAATTATCCTATAATATGTCAAATTATTCTGACTCCCATTTGATTGGTGTTTGCTTATGATCTGTTGGAGGACAGACGTATGTATTTTTTGCTTTTTTAGTGTCATTTCTATTATTAAAAAAGTAGATTTCATGTTGTTGTGCATCTGTTCAATAAAAGATCACGGAAGACATCAAAGGTGGCAAGAACATCAGTGACACACTCACCTAACAACTTGTGTGCCTCTTTCTGTTTTGTTCGTACCACATTTTAACGTCACTGTGATCTTTTACTGGACAGACATACAGCAACATGGAATCTATTTGTTAAAGTGATGCTTAGCAAATTATGGTGGTCCCTGTCAATTGTAGTACTACCAGAATTTTAATTTGGTTTACCAGTATATTAAAATTCAGACGCTATTAACCTTAGTCTCAGTAACTAAGAAAATACTGGTTTTGACCACAATTGATACCAATCTCGCAATATGATTGGCTAATTTGTTGTGGAAATTGCGAGGCTGCGCCTCGTGAATCCACAACATTTTGACCACTGTCATGGCAGGTATCGTTGTCAATAAGAGAACAGACCACGCTTAACCACATTCGATTTGTTAAGTGACCAATTCCTTTCTAATAGTTATTCCACCTTAATCAACAAAGTTCTTTTCAACTGTCCTCAACAACTTGGACCCAACACCAGCTCAGTAACACTGTACACTACTTATCCACGATGGGAGCTTTCTGATGAAGATCTGGTGAAGAGTTGGGCCTGGCACCAAGTTTGACTCTAGTTGTTGCTTTGGTGAGTTTAGAGATGCAGATCCACTGAGTTAAGTTTTGCTTTGACAAAAACTTGATCACTAACATTGCTTTATTTAATTGAGAGGAAATATATCAATAAACTTACCCATTCCTGTTCATTGGACTCAGTTAAACGTTTTTTACACTATTTGTGCATTTACATAATTATAGCTCAAAATTAGCAACTAAAACATCTAGGTAGGGTTCTTAATTTTTCTCAAATTATGTCTGTCAGAACCCAATTTCATAAGCAATTTGCTTTTCTAAATTGATTCAATTGTAAAATGAAATTCCTACTGTCCTGTTTCAGTTTGACTTGTCAATTTCTAAAGTTCGTATCAACCATCATGTCATATAAAAATCATTTATCAACCAAGCCTCCTTGGCAGGGAGTTTTTGTACTGACTTAGCTGCACACAAATATGTCAAGACCTTGTCCTGATATTCTCCCAGCACTACTCTATCCTTGGTGAATAGTACTACTGTGAAATGTATCAGTTATTCAGCGAATGTCAAAACTTTTTAAACTTGGGAACAAACTTCATGTGGAAGTGGCTTTTTCAAAGGAACAAGTAAATCCTGGTTAAAATAGCTGGAAAGCTTCCAATTCAGAAAATTCTTGACCAATAACTGGAGTTCAAATCTTAATTTTGCAGAAAAGCAACAA